CGACGACGACGACGACGACGACGACGACGACGACGACGACGACGACGACGACAACAACAACAACAACAACAACAACAACAACAACAACAACACCACACGAACAAGAACAATAACAAGAACAGCAACACCAGCAAGAACAACAATAACAGCAACAGCAACAGCCACAACCACAACAACAACTTTACTACAAGAACAACAGCAGCAGCAGCAACAATAACAACAACAGCAACAGAAGCAGGAACAGAAACAGCAACAGCAGCAGCGGCAACAACAAACAAAGCAACAACAACCACCACTTCCACCACACCTACCACTAACACCACCACCACCACCACCACCACCACCACCACCACCAACTAGCAACCGCCGACCAACAACCAACAGCCAACAGCCAACAACCAACAACCAACCCATCGCCACCACCACCACCACAACCACCAACCACCAACCACCAACCAACAACCAACAACCAGCAACCAACCTCAAACAACCAACAACCAACAGCCAAAAGCCAAACACCAACAAGCAACAACCAACAACCAACAACCAACAGCCAACAGCCATTAAGCAAAATCCAACAACCAGCAGCCAACAACCAACAACCAGCAACCAAGAAACAAGAAGCAAGAAACAACAAACAGCAGACAACAAATAGCAAACAACAAACCACAAACAACAACCAACAACCGACAAAGAACAAGCGACAAACAACAAGCGACAAACGCCAATGGCACGAGCTTAGATGCTTCACAGGTATGGTGCCACGATGGCTTGAAGTCTAACATTTTACCATGAACATCTCAAGCAAATCCTTGGTTCAGGTTGTACGGCTGGTGCGATGGCCGTTTTGCAAATATTCAAAAGATACGGGGGATAGTTATCCAGCTCCAAACCGCAACATGTGACGGTTTTAGATTGTTTTGGGTGGTTGTTTCATTGCCATTTATGTTATTTTTTTTTCACAGCTCTGATCCTGGGCGCTAGGATCATGCTTGCAGAGAACCAAGAAAACCAATCTGTCTTAGAGTCTAGAAAAAACTGGAAGCTCATAGGACATGTACCACGTCACCAATAGATGATTTGTTTTCCGGTCGAATATACTCCAACATGATTGTGCCGAAAGAAGCATTCGCACAGAGTGCTTTGCTTGTCCTTTCTAAATAATGGTTAGCAAAATCCACCTGTCATGCCTTTGACATGGCAATGACTGGTTTGTGGCCAAGGAATTGCGATCCAAGCTGTGCCAATTGGAACTCTCGAATTTGACTCTTCGGGCCATCGAAATTAGGTATCATTTCAGATCATGCTAGGTGATCGTGTTGCCACAAAATCAAGTTTCAAATTTGTAAATCAACATGTCGTGCCTTAGCACTGCCTCCTTTCAGTTTTGATTGGTTGATTTGTGACAGCTGAGGTGCTCGTACAGTGACTCAACACACATACACGAGGGCTTGGGACCTCTAGTAAGTGGTAACATGGACCAAAACATGTGGTCCGCTGGCCATGGTGGGTTGGGGCAACACAAATCCTAGCTGACATAGGCAGTTGCTCGAAAGCCACGTCTTGACATGGGGCCATCTAACTCAACCCCTCGAATTCAACGAGCCCCTTCACCTTCACCAAATGAAGCCTTCGCCAGTGAGCAAGAAGGAGCACTGGCTGTCCTTTCAGAATTGAACATGTTCATAGTAAGCCACCGGCCCAAGTTGACAAGTTCTGAGCCTCAACCACTGGCTAGGAGTGGTCAAATGTCTCCAGTGTGGTGAATCTGGAGGCTAACTGCAACTGCAGTTGTCATAGATGTTGCTTCGGGGTTTTCAGCTCTTAGGAGAGCATTTTGTAAGTCCGCCCCAACGAGATCGTGTACCTTATGGGGTGGGAGGGGGAGGGAGCCTAAATCAGCCCTAAATATGGCCTTAATAGGGGCTTGTTTTTTGGGCTCCCTCCTCCTCCCCTCCCTCCCCGCCAGCCCCCATCAGTACCTGCCATGCTGACGACATATGCAATCACCTGCTCAGCTGCGGCTCAAGGCCGAAACGCCCGAAAATCAAATCTGAGTTCGTCCAAGTTGTTCCCATCTGGGGGGTGTCATTTTTTTTTTTTAAAGTTGGTACCTTTTTTTTGGTGGTTTTAAAGGGGCTCCAAAAGCGAAAGTCACCATTTTGGGAGTCCCTGGAAAAAGAGACACCCATTTGTCCATGTGTTCTCTCCTTTGCTGCAAGCATTTGGCATGTTGGAACCTCTGATTCGATGAACTCTGTGTGCTCGACGTCATGTCTCCGGCGCCTTGGTGTGATGTCGGTCAGATCCCTTCTTCCAAGTGGTCCCCGAAGCCATGTGCGAGGGACTGTCGGGCATCCAGGGCTTCAGACGGCTCTTAGACAGACACGTGGACTTCCAAGACTCCAAGCTGAGGCCGTAAAACCCCAGTCACATGGATGTACGTGGAGTGGGAGAGGCAGGAAAGACAATGTTCGGCAGGGCTTGGGGGAGACCTTCCAAGCGAGTTTAGGGCTTGTGCTTCTGCCAGCACTGGCTCCTGGATCTCTGGGTCTCAGCGAATATCGATGGATCTTTGAGGACCTGGTGAGTGTTGGTTCAGTTGGGGTAGGACTTCCAGGTTTGGTATCCCTCGGCATCTTCCTGAACCCCATGTTCGAAGCCATGCCACGCATTCGGAAGTTGGGCCATGTCGGAGACATGCCAATGCTTCCCTACTCCGCCATGGCTTCCATGGGAAGTGTTTGGACGGCCTATGGCTTGCTTCTCAGCAACCCGGCAGTGTGGACGCCAAATCTTTGTGCATCTCTACTTGGAGTCTACTACATGTTCGTCTATTGCAGGCACTGCCCAGATTTGGGACATCTGCTGACAGGTCACGTCTTGAAGGTTTTGGCCACCATGCTCTTCTCTGCCGCCGCCTATGGCTTTCTCCCACATGACCTTGCCTTGAGCATGTTGGGACTTACTGGGAATGTGATGACGATCTTTATGTTTGGGGGACCCTTGACAGCCATCCGCACTGTCGTTCGGGAGCAGAACACGAGGGCTCTGAATTTGGGCTTCACTTGTGCCGTGAATCTCAATTGCATCTTGTGGTTCTTCTATGCCTACTTCATGCTGGATGATCCATATATCTATCTTCAGGATGGAGTGGGTATCATCCTTGCAACGATTCAATTGGGCCTATTTGCCCGTTATGGTGTTCAAAGACATTGATACTTGCAGGCTGGTGAAGGCTTATATCGTTATAAAATCCAAAAATCTTATTTATAATTAAAGAAATATATTATATATTTTATTATTATATTTTATACAATAATAATTATTATTATGATTGTTTCAGTTATGGTTATTTTAATTAATATTATTATTCTTTGAGATATGGATAATTTATATTTTTTGGATTGAAATTCTTTATATATTATTTGTATTTTTGGCTTGGATCCAATTTTTAGAATGGATAGATGTAATTTTCGTACCTAAAATAATGTTGGATTATGGATGGGCGAATATTTTTATTTAAATTTCCTTTAATTTATATTTTTTTTAAAATTATATTAATTCGAATTATTTATTTCGCTTCGAGTAATCCTTATCCTCTATACTTATGAATTTATGACCGTTACAATAACCATATTTTAGAAACTTCGATTCCAAATTCTTATCGGCTCTTTTGGGCATTAAGCAAAACCATATTGGCGAGCTATTCTAGCGGGATATTGGCGGGATCCACCGGTAAGGGATATTTAGTAGGATACTCGGCGGGATTTATTGGCGAGTTACATTGACGGATTACTCTGGTGGGATATACGATGGATTTATTGATAAATTACTCTAATGAAATATTCGGATGGGATTTATTAGTGATTTATTTTGGGATACTCAGCGATATATTCGGCGGGATTTATTGGCGGGCTGCTTTGATGGGATACACGGCGAGATCCATTAACGAACTGTTTATCTGGGATATTTAACGGGATAGTCGGCGGGATCCATTAACGGGCTGCTCTGGTGGGATACTCGGCGGGATCTAATGGTTGGCGGGATACTCGATGGGATCTGCTGACGAGCCGCTTTAGCGGGATACTCTGTGGGATATTTAGGGAGGTACTTGACGGAATCCACTGGCGAACTGTTCTGGTGGGATACTCGACGGGATCCCTTGGCTGATGGGATATTCGGCGGGATTTATTAACGAGCTCTGGCGGGATATTCGACGGAATCCACTGACGAGCTTTAACGGGATATTGGATGGGGGAATGATATAGAAATATAATAAATATAAATAATACTATAAAATCAAAAAAAATATTTTTTTTTGGAAGGGGGAATAATAATAATTAAATATATATTAATTTCGATTTTAACATTATATTTTATAATTTCGATTCTATATATTATAAAAAAAAAAAATCTTTAAATATATATAAATTATTTATTAGAATTAAATTTCTATATCTATATATAAATTAACATTATTTTTAATAAATTAAATATAAAATAATAAAACATTATATTATTCTTTTTAAATATAATATTATTAAATTTAATATTCAAATTTTAATTATATAATTAAATATCTTAAATATTATATATATTTGTTAAATATTTAATATCCATATATATATAATTATATTAATTAACTATTTTTTTTTATTGATTTTAATTATTATTAAATTTATATTATTATAATTAATAAAATCTATAAATATTACACAATTCGAACCATAAATCTTTAAGGATTATCTAATATTCCTAACTCCAAAAATTATTTTCCGTCTCGACTTTCCGAGAATTTCCATAATATAAATAAAATCATATGGTTTAACATATATCTAAACAAATAATTTTTTTTACAAAAAAAACAAAATAATCCAACAAAAATAATTAGTATATAAAACAAGAAATAAATTAAACGACTAGAACGAAAACAAAATGAAGAACAGAATAAATAAAAAGAAAAAACCATATATATATATATAATAAGTAAATTAATATAATACCGAATAAAGAAAAAGAGGAAATACTCCGATATATATAGCAAACCATTCCAATTCAATATTCGAATATATTAATAATATTATTAATTCTTATAATTATAAATATAGAGATAACATATAAAATATTAATGTATTTTTAATATTAAATTTATTTATAAAAAAGAAAAATCACAAATACATAATTTATTCCTCAATTAATAAAAAAGATTTCATTTAATAAAAAGAAATTGTTAAATTTTATATTAAAATTTATATTTATGATATTTTTATATTATATAATAAATTTTCATTAGAATTATTCGCTAATAAATACCGTTAAATATACCGCCAAAATGATTGATTAATGAATACCAACGAATATTCCATCAAAATATTTATTAATAAATAAAAATAATTCTTCTAATTCATCAAGAAAATCGTAATATATAATTAATTCATCAATTTCATTTTTATTATTTCACTAAAATATTAAATAATTTATCTCCATTCCATTTATAAAAGAAATCTCAATATAAGATTATATATATATACCTCATAAAATCCTCATCCCGAATTCAATAATACACAAAAATACACCATACCCAATTTTATTAATTATACAATTAAATACAAATAAATATATATAATTATATTTAAAAATACTATCCAATTCATTATATGCATATATGCAAACATATATGTTTTTATGTATTGTATATATATGTATTATATATATATTATACATACATCCATATATCCATATAACTACATACATACATATACTTATTACATACATACATAACATAACATTTACATTTCCCTTACATTCCCTTACATTACACACATACATTGCATACATTGCATGGCATTACATTACATACATATATTCCATTCTATTTACATTCATGCATGCATACATTACATTGATTGCACTGCATTACATTATACTACCATACAATACATTTCATGCAGTACATTACATACAGTACATATGTACATATACAACAATTATATTTTTGACTTAGTCACACTACTTCTTTCCATTTATATATGCAGCAAAATCTCAGATTTCGACCCGTATAACTTTGACTATCCACTTTTTGCACATGTTTAGTTCAATTGGGCATGCTTGGTTGCAGCTTACACGCGTATCGGCATCATTTCAATTGGTTAAGCTTTTATGAGGCGCTCTTTCCAACCAAAGTCGCAACTGTGAATTCCATACCTGCATCCCCTACAGCTCGAAACTACATTTGCGTGGTTGCTCCTTGTCCAATGCTGACGTCAATCGACTCAAAGCAAGCTAGTTCACATAAACGACCAGGTGACAAGAGGTCTTGTTCACATGTGTGTCAAACAAAGAAAAACCAATACTAATGCCACCCAGCACCCAGCATTCATCAACCTGGGTTATAGTGGGACCCAAACTGGGTTTAAGCTGGCTTTCCATTAGCTCATGTTGCTCTTGAAACTTCCCGGCTTCTGGCAGCTGCGAGCCTTTCTGACGCTCAGTCTGAGTGGTGCTCGGCTAAGTCTAAAAGAGGCATCGACGCGCTGTCGGCTGTGCGTCTCTAAAGCGCAAACACAACTGAGCAGTGCCCAAATCTAGGTCCTGCCAAACCGGCAGAGCTTCACACGAGCAAAACCTCACTTGCCCAAAGGACCTGGACATAAAAGGCAGTAGTATCACAGCATCACAGGCAGTAGTAGACAAATAGTCAGAGGAATTTGGGTGCTCAATTGCCAAGAGTTCATGGACCTGCTCTCTTCGAGAGCGGTGCTTTTCCCTTTGGGAAGTTGGGTCAAAGGATTTTGGTGCCATCACTGAGGGACCTCGTTGGGAAGCAGCATCTTCTGATAAATGCGCGACTCCTCCCAGGTCACACACAAAAGAAAGGCATGCTTATTAGGCAAAACAATGGTGGCAGGCAACTCAAAGACCATGTCAATAAGGGATTGTCGAGTAAAGGACCTTCTCAGCGACCTGGCTTTATTTAGAGGCTAGCTCGCCCAAAAACGAGGCAGATTATTTGCAGTACGCTGCAAGAGGCAGAATCCTCCCCAAAGACAAACAGAAAAATCAAAGTCATCGAGCCGGATGCGGAATGCGCAACTGACTAGTTGCTTCACTACGCCAATATTTTCTCAGTGGAGGGGCCAACTCTGCGGAAAGCATTGTTTGTCAGCATTCACGCTGGATCAAACAAAGTCAAATCCCCATCAAACACTTCCTAGCACAGCACATCTGGCATGCCTAACCGTGTCAGCAAAAAACAGACCAGCTATGCTCATGGTTTGTTGGGGAACTTTCATGTGCACCCTATGTCCCCTCCAAATGGACCCATATATACAAATTCACATGGCACCTCAGAAACCAATAGACATCCGGACCTCGTTTTCGCGGGGCCTCACTGGATTTCCGTTGAAAAGTGCAACGCATACTGCTGGTAGGTTTTGCAACGCAAATGCCCACTTCTCCGGGTCCAATAGGGCGAGGTTTCCGGTTGATTTGCACTTGGTTGACGTTGGAAGGAGCCATTTTTTTGTTTTAGCAGTTAAGTGGATTTGGATTGCCACCACTAAACCACAATAAGCAAAAATGGGAAAACATGTTTCCCAACAACAACCATGTGCAGGGGAGAGCTCCAGAATCTTTATCTTCCGAAAGCCGCAACCAAGAAAACCACCGGGAGGAACAGGGACCCCCCAAAAGCTGCAATTGACTGGTGGTTTCCAATAAAACGATCGCCACTTTTCCACCTTGACACTTTTGGAGGTCCCGAAAAGAGGGGGAATGGAGGACACCTTGACCAGACCTTGGGTGAAAGTAGATGGCACCACGGGCAACATGGGAGGCTAGCGTCATCTGCCGCCGCCGTTTCCGCTGTCCAGATACAAAGGGGCATGCAACCACAGAACCGCCTGGCCAATCGCATCTTTCACATTGCCCCTGAGCCCAGTTCCCCGTCTTTCGCCTGAAAATCCAGGATCTAACCCCTTCAGCCTGCAGGAAGGTTGAAAGGTGTAGCCAGAAGCATGCAATGGCATGCATCAGAATGGCCATCCATTTCCCCCTCAGCTGTTTGCTCAGATCGGTGACGCCTTTTGACCGATGTTTTTCCATAACTCCAAGGCAGTCTCCCCACATTTCCTTTAATTCAAAGGTTGCGGCGTAATTTGAAGCAATGCCGCAAAGTTGTGATGAACACCCCAATGCAGTGATGGTGCCAATTGGCCGGACGTATTGGCAAACAAAAGGCTCAAGCAAAAAGCACAGCATAGCGTGGCGAAGCCTGCGCGACTCGGCATTTCTGGCCCAAGCTACCAAGCATTCTGTGTCTTCTTTTGAGGGGGCAAGCTGCGCGGTATTGGGTAAGCATGTAAGCATGCTTGAACCTGATTCCCAAGGAACCTCGATAGTCCTCTTCAGCTCCTTTCCATTAAACGCCCGGCTGGACACCAGTTCCGCTTTGCAAAAATCTCCTTTCTGTCGCTATTGCTAGTTATTACCCAGTCTGCTTCAGGCGCAAGGCTTCCTTTTTGACCGCCCCTTACAAACCAACTCTCCCACTCACTTCCTGAGTGGATGGGCCAGCAGTCCAAACCTTCTGTTTGCCACAGTGGTCTTTCGAAGAGTTAGGCCCAGCTATAGAATGTATATTTTATTGCTTGCTTCACATAGAGTCACTGGTAACATGGTAATATCCTAAGTCTACCCCAGTCCCTACAAGGCAACAGTCCAACCCGAAAAGTGAGCCGTCTCCTCCGCGCCCAGGAGAAAGGCCACGGAGATGCGAGGCCCACTCTCCCCTCGGAATTCGTGGCCCAGTGCGAAGCCGCCAAGCGCCAAGTGTCCCAAAATACAAGGACTATAGTCATCGCTCTCGAGATAGCTTGCAATTGGTTGCCCTACCACAGAAGCTCCTAAACTTCCCTAGTGGTTGTATATATATATATGTATACATACACACTTGGTGTAAATGTGGTTTGTTTGTGGAGGAGGATTCTTTTCTTACACATGTATTCTGATTCTAAATTATGTCCGTGTTGAGTCGACCCTAAGATGTTGGCTCATGCCGTATGGGACGATTCCCTTTCCACCCCTCCCCCGCCCTCCTTACATGGGGAAAAGGGACTTTTAAAGCTGTTGGACGTCTTTTAGAGTTGCGCACGCGTCTCTTGGTGGCTTAAAACCTCTAGGTTGGGGGTTAATTCTGTATTTGGGGCACGCAACCGTCTCCCTTCACTATGTTAATGGGGGGGGTGGCTGAATTTCGACTTTGTTGGTCTTTCGCTGCAGCCTTGGGCATAGACTGCTATCCAATTGGAATCATCTAAAAGGCGCGGGTCACCAAAGCACAATTCACAGGTCAAGTTGCCGTGAGCCATGTTTTAAACCACTCCTTCGGAAACAGAGCCAGGTCCATTTGTAGCCGTGCTCCTAGATTTGTGGCAAACTGGCCAAATTGTGGGCATCCCTAGCCCGGCCACCAAAACAACGGAACCCACGGATGGCACACGTTTTAAGGCTGGTCTGTGTGGAACCAAGACAAGACACTCCCGCATTTCAGGGCCTCAGTTTCTCACCCTTTGGAACACGTAACCAAGCTGTGTTTGCGTCGCAACAACGGCCGAAACGTGATCACGTGACACAAGTCACGTTTAAACTTGAAGTGAGGTGTTGACATGCCCATAAGGGAATCTCATATGCTAACGAGCCATCCCTTTGAAACTTATCCCCACAAAGGGAACAACAAACATACATAACATCATAATCACAAACACAACAAACCACAACCGAACGCAACAAAACACAACAAACACAACAAAACACAACAAACACAACAAAACACAACAAACCCCAACAAACACAACAAAACACAACAAACCCCAACAAACACAACAAACACAACAAACACAACAACAACAAAAACACACAAACACAACAAAACACAACACAACACAACACAACACAACACAACAAACCGCAACAAACACAACAAACACAACAAACACAACCAAAAAACACACACAACAAAAACAACAACAAACACAACAAACACAACAAACACAACAAACACAACCAAAAACACACACACAACAAAAACAACAACAAACACAACAAACACAACAAACACAACAAACACAACAAAAGAACAAAACACACAACAAAACACAACAAACCCCAACAAAACACACAAAAACACAACAAAATACACAAAAACACACAAAAACACACACACACACACACACACACACACACACACACACACACACACACACACACACACACACACACACACACACACACACACACACACACACACACACACACACACACACACACACACACACACACACACACACACACACACACACACACACACACACACACACACACACACACACACACACACACACACACACACACACACACACACACACACACACACACACACACACACACACACACACACACACACACACACACACACACACACACACACACACACACAGACACACACACACAGACACACACACACACAGACACACACACACACACACACACACACACACACACACACACACACACACACACACACACACACACACACACACACACACAAAAACTTCAACAAACACAACAAAACCCAACAAACCCCAACAAACACAACAAACAGAACCAAACAAACAAACACAACAAACGAGCGTGTTGGCGATCTGTGTCGCTAAACTGCTTTGCGCTGTTGCGCGGCTGCGCTGCTCGCTGCTGCGCTGATGACTTTGCGCCGCTCTGCTGTTGCGCTGCTGCGCTGCTTTTCTGCTGCACCGCTGCGCTGTTGCGCCGCTGAAGCCGCCTCCGTTGACGTGCGCCGCTGCGCCGTTGAGCTGCTGCGCCGTTCCGCTGTTGCGCCGTTGCGTCGCTGCACCGCTGCGCCGTTGCGCCGCTGAGCCGCTGCGCCGTCGCGCCGCTGCGCCGTTCGCGGTTGCGCTCTTGCGCCGTCGCGCTGCTGCGCCGTTGCGCCGCTGCGCCCTTGCGCCGCTGCGCCCTTGCGCCGCTGCACCGCTGCGCCGTTGCGCCGTTGAGCTGTTGCGCCGCTGCGCCGTTGCGCCGCTGCGCCGTTGCGCCGCTGCGCTGTTGCGCCGTTGCGCGTTTGCACCGCTGCGCTGTTACGCCGTTGCGCGGCCGCGCCGCTGCACCGCTGCGCCGCTGCGCCGTTGCGCCGTTTTGTTGCGCCATTGCGCTGTTACGCTGTCGCGCCTTGGCGCATTTGCGCCATTGCGCTGTTACGCGGTTGCGCTGTTGCGGCGCTGCACTGCTGCGCTCCGCCGTTGCGCTGCCGCGACGTTCTGCTGTTGCACCACTGCGCTGTTGCGCTGCCGCGCCGTTGCGCCGTTCCGATGTTGCGATTATCCTACCATATCCTGCCGTATGCTGTCCAATCCTGTCTTATCCTACCTTCTCCCATCTTCTCCTATCGTATCCTATCTTCTTCCATGTGTCTATCTATCTATCTGCATAGCTATCTATCGAGATATCATATCTGTCCTATCTTTCCTGTCTGTCCTTTTTGTCTTGTCGTATCAAGCCTATCTATGTTGTCCATATTACCTATCTGGTCTATCTGTTGTGTCTTATCTGCCTTGTCTATCATATCGATCATATCTATACTACCTACCTTATCTACCTTACCTACCAAATCTTATCTTATTATACATTATCCTGTCTTATCCTGTCTTTCCTATCGTATCCTGTATTGTCCTATCTTATCCTATATTCTCCTGTAATATCCTATCTTGTCCTATATATCCCATGTTGGCCTATCTTGCCATGTCTTATCCTATCTTAGCCTATCGTATCCTTCGTATAAATCGAATTGTCTATCTATAATACATCTATCTATACATCTATGTATGAGTCAATCCTGTCTTGACCCATCTTATCCTATCTTACCCTATCTTACCCGACCTTATCCTATCTCATCCTAAAATCATCCTATATTATCCTATCTTATCCCGTCTTCTCCTCTCTTATTCTAGCTTATCCCATGTTATCCTGTCTTATCATGTCTTATTCTGCATGTCCCTATCTTAACCTATCTCATCCTATGTGCCTATCTATCAATCTACCAGCCTACCCAGCTATCCTATCTATCCTATCGTTCCTATCTATCTCATCGTATATGTAAGTCTTATCGCTCTTATCTATCATATCTACCTTATCGACATTACCTACCTTGTCTTGTCTTATCATATGTTATCGTGTCTTGCCCTATCTTAAGTTATCTTTCCTGCTTTGTCCTATCTTATCCCATCGCAGCCCTCGCATCCTATCTTACCCCATATTATCCTACCTTATCCTGCCTTACCCTATCTTGACATATCTTACCTTATCTTACCCAATCTTTTCCTATGTATCTATCAATCTATCTACCTATCTATCCTGTCTCCCCTGTATGTCCCATCTTTCCTATCTATCTCATCGCGTGTAGCTTATGAATCGTTTCTATCCTACCTATCTGATCTATCTTATCTCTTACCTGCCTGATCTATCTTGTCTATCATGTCTATCCTATTTATCTTCTCTACCTTGTCTACCTTACCTACCTTTACATTATCCTGTCTTGGCCTACCTTAACCTATCTTATATTACCGTATGCTATCTTACCCTGCCTTATCCCATCTTGTCCTACCTTACCCCATGTTGGCCTATCTTGCCGTGCCTTATCCTATCTTATCCGACCGTAGCCTATCTTATCCTATGTGTCTATCTGTTTATCTATCATCTATCTATCCTATCTATCTGATTTTCTCCTAACTACCATATCTACCCTATCTTTCCTGCTTGTCCTCTTTATCTCATCGCGTCTATCTTATCTATATGTCCTGTCTTATCTACCTGATCTACCTTACATGGCTTATCTACCTTGTCTATCATATCTATCACATATATATATATGTATGCTATCTACCTTATCTATCCTAGCTGCCTTATCTGATCTTATCACAAATTGTCCTGCCTTATCTTATCTGAGCCTATCTTATCCTGTATTTTCCCGTCGTATCCTAGCTTATCATGTCTGATCCCATCTTATCCTGTCTTATCCCACGTTGGCCTATCTTACCGTGTCCTATCCTATCTTGCCCTATGTACCTATCGATCTATCTATGTTATCTCTGAGACTGCTGGGGCTCAAAACACAAGTGATTGAAACATATTATTAACAACAAAAAACGCAGCGAACACCTGCGAAAACCACGAAAACGCGAACACCGCGAAAGCCCCCAAAACCGCCAAAACGCGAAAACCGAAAAAAAACCACGAAAACCGCGAAAACCGTGAAAACGCGAACACCGCGAAAACCGCACAAACATCGATTGTCTGGGTTCTTTGGGCTTTCTCGGTCTTCTAGGTTCTTTCTGTTTTCACGGCTCTCGGTTTTATCGGTTTTCTCTGTTTTCCAGTTTCTTTGGTTTTCTCGGTTTTCCGGCTTTCTCGCGCAAATCCGGTTAGCTCCGTGTCGCTCAAAACGATTGCTTAGCAAGCTTGGCTGCCATCAGGTTTTCGCCTTCAAGCAAAGGAGGCAACCTACCTTTCTTTAAAGTGAGGTTTGCCCTCATAAACATGACATTTAGGCTGCTCATGCTATCTGAAGTACTCGGGAGTCAGTTAGCGATCGGGAACTCAGCTCTTAAAACGACCAAACTCGCTCTAGGAGAAACGGCCAATCGAGCGAAGCAACGGAGCAACGGAGCGGGGCAACGCAGCGCAGCAACGGAGCAACAGAGCGAGGCAGATCCGCGCAACAACGGGCCAACGGAGCAGAGCAACGGAGCAACGGAGCAGAACAGCTTTGCGGAACAGCGGGGGAACGGAGCGGAGCAACGGAGCAACAGAGCGGAGCAACGGAGCGGAGCAACGGAGCAACGGAGCGAAACAGCTTTGCGGCGGGGGAACGGAGCGGAGCAACGGAGCAACGGAGCGAAACAGCTTTGCGGAACAACGGGGGAACGGAGCGGAGCAACGGAGCAACGGAGCGAAACAGCTTTGCGCCACCACGGGGGAACGGAGCAACGGAGCAACGGAGCAACAGAGCGGAGCAACGGAGCGGAGCAACGGAGCAACGGAGCGAAACAGCTTTGCGCCACCACGGGGGAACGGAGCGGAGCAACGGAGCAACAGAGCGGAGCAACGGAGCGGAGCAACGGAGCAACGGAGCGAAACAGCTTTGCGGCGCAACGGGGGAACGGAGCGGAGCAACGGAGCAACGGAGCGAAACAGCTTTGCGGAACAACGGGGGAACGGAGCGGAGCAACGGAGCAATGGAGCGAAACAGCCTTGCGGAACAACGGGGGAACGGAGCGGAGCAACGGAGCAACGGAGCGAAACAGCCTTGCGGAACAACAGGGGAACGGAGCGGAGCAACGGAGCAACGGAGCAACGGAGCGAAGCAGGTTTGCACGACACGCTTTGCCAACGCTCTGCAACAAACACAACAAAAACAAACAAACAAACACAAACACACAACAAACCCCAATAAACACAACAAACACAACAAGAAAACAAACAAACACAAAAACACAACAAACCCCAACAAACACAACACACACAACAAAAAGGATCAAACACAAAAACACAACAAACACAACAAAAGACAACAAAACACAACAACACACAACAACAACGTAACAACACACAACAAAAAACATTCAAACACAACAAAGAAAACAAACACAACAAAACACAACAAAACGCAACCAAACACAACACAACGCAACAACACACCACAGAACACAACTAAACACAAGTAAACACAACAAACACAACAAGAAAACAAGCAAACACAAAAACACAACAAACCCCAACAAACCGCAACAAAACACCACAAAACACAACTAAACACAACAACACAACAAACACAACAAAACACAACAAAACGCAACCAAACACAACAAAACATATTCAAACAGAACAAACCATATGCAAACACAACAAAACACAACAAACCCCAACAACCACAACAAAACACAACACACCCCAACAAACACAACAAAAAAACAAACAAAAACAACAAAAAAACGACAAACACAAGAACACACCAAACACCAACAACCACAACAAACCCCAATAAAAACAAGAAACACAAACAAAACACAACAAGCCCCAACAAACACACAAAAACACAACAACCACAACAAACCCCAACAACCACAACAAAACACAACACAACACAACAAAACACAACCAAACACAACCAAACACAACCAAACACAACCAAGCACAACCAAACACAACAAAAAACAACCAAACACAACCAACCACAACAAAACACAACAAAACACAACCAAACACAACCAAACACACAAAACACAACCAGCACAACAAAACACATCCAACCACAACCAAACACAACCAAACGCAACCAACCACACCAAAACACAACAAAACACAACCAAACACACCAAACACAGCAAAAAGCAACTAACACAACAAAACACAACCAACACTGCAAAACACATGCAACCATAACAATACACAACCAAACGCAACCAACCACAGCAAAACACAACCAAACGCAACCAACCACAACAAAACACAACAAAAAACACAACACAACACAACCAAACACAACCAAACACAGCAAACACAGCAAAACACAACCAACACAACAAACCACATCCAACCACAACAAAACACAACCAAACGCAACCAACCACAACAAAACACAACCAAACGCAACCAACCACAACAAAACACAACCAAACACAACCAAACACACCAAACACAGCAAAACACAACCAACACAACAAAACACATCCAACCACAGCAAAACACAACCAAACGCAACCAACCACAACAAAACACAACAAAAAACACAACACAACACAACCAAACATAACCAAACACAACCAAACACAACCAAACACAACCAAACACACCAAACACAACCAAACACAACCAAACACAGCAAAACACGATCAACACAACAAACCACATCCAACCACAGCAAAACACAACCAAACGCAACCAACCACAACAAAACACAACAAAAGACACAACACAACACAACCAAACATAACCAAACACAACCAAACACAGCAAACACAGCAAAACACAACCAACACAACAAACCACATCCAACCACAACAAAACACAACCAAACGCAACCAACCACAACAAAACACAACCAAACACAACCAAACCCACCAAACACAGCAAAACACAACCAAAACACAACCAAACACAACCAAACACAACCAAACACACCAAACACAGCAAAACACAACCAACACAACAAAACACATCCAACCACAACAAAACACAACCAAACGCAACCAACCACAACACAACACAACAAAACACAACCAAACACACCAAACACAGCAAACACACAACCAACACAACAAAACACATCAAACCACAGCAAAACACAACCAACCGCAACCAACCACAACAAAACACAACCAAACACACCAAACACAGCAAAACACAACCAACACAACAAAACACATCCAACCACAACAAAACACAACCAAACGCAACCAACCACAACACAACACAACAAAACACAACCAAACACACCAAACACAGCAAACACACAACCAACACAACAAAACACATCAAACCACAGCAAAACACAACCAACCGCAACCAACCACAACAAAACACAACCAAACACACCAAACACAGCAAAACACAACCAACACAACAAAACACATCCAACCACAACAAAACACAACCAAACGCAACCAACCACAACAAAACACAACAAAACACAACACAACACAACAAAACACAACCAAACACAACCAAGCACAACCAAGCACAACCAAACACAACCAAACACAACCAAACACAACCAAACACAACCAAACACGACCAAACACAACCAAACACACCCAAAGACAAAAAAACACAACACAACACAACAAAACACAACCAAACACAACCAAGCACAACCAAACACAACCAAACACAACCAAACACAACCAAACACAACCAAACACAACCAAACACGACCAAACACAACCAAACACAACCAAAGACAAACAAACACAACCAAACACAACCAAACACAACCAAACACAACCAAACACAAAACACAACCAACCACAACCAAACATCATAACAAAGAAATCCACCACCCCCTTGATGAAAGCCGCTTGACTTTGAACCCCAGGAACTACCCCCCGATTCGCCGAGCTCGCAGCCATCGATGGGTGGGATGCCGTGGGTGTGGTTGGCCTACGGCAAACGTGATCTCCGGTGGTTGGCTTGGGGTTGCTTAGGGTTTAGAGTGGGGATTTCCAAGATGTGGGGATTTGGTTGGGGATTTGGGGAGTTTCTATCATTTGGGGATTTGTAATATTTGGGGTTGGGGGAGTTTCTAGTATTGGGGGTTGGTTGCTTTTGGGGTTGGTTTAGGCTTGCATAGGGTTTAGGGTTCGCGGAGATTTCGTGCAGTTTTGTATGAAGTTATGATTGCGCCTTTGTCTTCTATCAGGACATGTGAAGGAAGGTTTGGTTGCGAGGAACAAACATCCAGCGTGATAAGGTCGAACAAAATTCCCTCCCCCAGGCGATTTCATGGAAGCTCCCGAACGGACCAAAATGGAAGACTTGGTGACCCAATTGCAGAGGCCTTCTGGCAGCTTGCGGCGGTTAGTCTGAGGGAGTGTTCCTGTTTTTGGCTCTTTTCAGGACTGTGGATGGTTGCGAAGTCCGATTTCCACAACACGAAATGAAACTATGAGCAGAGCGTTTGTTGATATTTGCGTCGGGGAATCGAATAGTTCCAGGGCTTCTGAACGGTGCGAATTGGATTTCACAATCATCCCAAACCCAAAAGATAAGAAACTCGAGTGAGTGAGGATAGGCTCTCTTTAAACTCAGGGGAACACAACACCTTCTCGAGCAAATGGAAGGTTAGGGCTTCGGGTTGCTTAGGGAATTCTATCTACACCCTGCTAAAGAATCACCCTAATACCAGCTGATTTTGAGGAAAACACAAAAAAGCGGGTGAGGAACCCTGGTTAAGCCTGCAAAATACAGCTGTGCGGGCGAAGGCGCGCCTTCAAGTTTTTAGTGAAAGAACCTAACATTGGCGGGGCGGTTCCTCTTAAGTTTCAAGGTCCTCCAGAAAAAGCAGCTTGATATGGAAGCTAGCAATCGAAGGAGGCGACCCTCTGGTTTCCTGCAAATCGACCTTGCTGTGCCGTGGGGGAGGGTGCCAGGCAGGGGTAGTGCTAGATCCCATGACGGGCCTCTTGACGAGTGAGGCTCTGGCGTTCCATGCCTCGTTGAAATACATGGCGTCCCCACCTCGGCGGGGAGGAACGTGTTTATCACCTGGAGACTCCCCAGAATGCTTGCCGTTCCCTCTGGTTTGCTGCGGCCATTTGTTTACAACGCATGAACGGTTGGTGTTGCTACAGTGTCGCTTTTGACCAGCACCCGCAAGGGACTCCCCAATTAAAGTGGGGGTGTCGTTCTTTTTTTTGTTTGTAATTATTGCACGGATTTCAACTCTTCCTCAAAAAATGGCCATGTTCACCCAAATGCTTTTGCTTGATTCAACACTCTTTGTGTTTTGGTAGCTTTGCGTACCAACCCTAAAGCAAGCTCCCTCAAGAGCACATGCAGGTTTCTGCTTTTGATCCCGGTAGCCTGCTTGAGAACTGTGTGAAGGCCAACAAAGCGAAAGGGGGACATGGAGACCAGCCAAAAACATGTCTCCCTCACATGAGTGCTCTTTTCCTTGAAAGAAAAACGGCGCTCCACCAAGCTTTTCTGGCTACTTGGTATGTGAAAAAGTGGCCATGCTTCCCTCAGGAACCCTTCGGATTCTGCTTTTTTCTGTTCGGAGCACTTTCTCAGACGCTTTTCGGCGCTGGGGCCGGCGCTATGAAGCCAGCGCCGCTCGCGCCGGCCGGTGCAGTGCTCACCTGGGTCACGAACTCAACCTACGCTGCCTCTTAGGGACCCAGAAATTTGAGGTCACGTTTGGCCGCTAAAATGGGTACCAACATACCGAAACCAAAAGGTCGATTCGCTCTGGGCAACTGAGCTTTGGCTCGTTTGGCATGAATCTGCTTTCGGAATCCTGTACCAGGAGGGTTCAGATACGCAAGGATGGCTTTGGTTCAGGATGTTACCCTTACACATTGCAACTGGCCAAAACACATGTGGTGAGGCTAGGGAAATCTGAAATGGTTTCCCCGCAAAGGCGAGGCTTTGAGGGTGCCGAATGGGCCCCATCAGTGGATCGTTGCAGGGGACATTTTCTGACACCGAATTCGGCCGGCGGGGCATTTCAGCAGAACCCGTCGAATTGTTAGTGGGGCGTCTCCCCCAATGTGAAAGATCCTCTTCAAAAACGAACGCTTCCTTTTCACCCCTCCCCCCAGCTTCTTGCACCCTGGATTCGCTTGAGCAGAAAGCCGGGCCACAGGAACCCGCAGGTTGCGATGCTTTTTGATTTGACCATCTGACTGAGCCAAAGGCTTCACGGCTAGGTGTGCTGGAAAACCAGCTTGTGTCCAAAAAGTCGAAGGGAAGACCAGCCATGTTGTGAGGTGATTTCCTAACGGCCAAAGGGGCAACCCTGCGAAAGGAGCCCGGCTCAGATCCCCCGCGGCAAGGTTTAACTTTTAGGTGGGTGAATGGAAACTACCACTAAGCCTTATTTGCTGCTAAAGCGCCGCAAGGCTTGACGGCGGAGAACATGTCGGTCATCGTCTCTAGCCTCAGCTCGGCTTAACTTTGCCGCCAATGGCCTCAACCCGTGGGAAATTACCTGTGATACTGTGGATGGTTGCGAAATCCATTTCGCCACCGTTCAGAAACCAACAAAATCATTCGATTCCCCTGTGAATGGCCAAGCAAACGATATGGCTTCAGCTTCATGGTTTCATTTCATGGCGCGGTTTCGGATTTCGCAACCATCAGTACTAGAGCGGGATTCCCATGACAAAGGGGCGCCCTTCTTGCTGAGATTCCAACTTGGTCACTCACAGGCAACCTGTTTTCGCAAATTCCCATGGCCTCTTGAACCTTCCGGCCTTGATTCATCCTTGTAGTGCCATGTCTAGGCCACATGATTGCATGAATATCACTCCCAAGGAGATTTCCGTGGAACAACCTCTTGTTCTCTCACAAAAGCCAGGGTCTTCATGCTTTCCAGTGGTGCCCATTTTGTTTTGTGACCCCCACCCGTTGGGCTCATGAATTTCAAGCGGGAATCTTTGGGCTTCGAGACCGTTGAGGGTACTATAAGGTCCCAACAAAAGCAGAATGTGCTGCGGGCTACCGCAAAATCATAATAATTCAACAATCAATTTCTCGTGGCCGCATGATGCGCGCGCATGAAAACACGGGCGCCTGATTTCCAAGCCCAAACCTGCTTTTCACCAGCATTTACCTTTTTACCCACTTCCCGAGCGGATGGTCCAACAAAAAGCCAGAACTTCTTGTTGGCCACTAACACGATCTTCGCCCCCCCCAAAAAATAAAACCTAGAAACTCAGGACAGTGAGAAAATCTTTGGGCCCCAAAAAAAACAGAACACGGACTCCCAAACCCAGAATCCCATCCCCCTGGCCATCACCTCTTCTCTGGAGCTAAGGGGTTCATTCTGGGCGTCCCCGGCAGGACCTGGCGCGAAGAGCCCACGGTGTAGCAGACGGTGCCCACGCACTTCCTCGGGGGAAAACGGGTTGAGGAGCCTCGGCTTTTTTTGAGGCTCGGCCGTTTTTGTCCCCTTTTTTTCGGGTGTCAACTCGAATGTTCTATCCTAAGCCTGCTGTGAATGGCTTCCTCTGGAGGCTTTCTTCTTCCCGTTTCTTTTATTGAGTTTTGGGATTGAACATTTGGGTTTTGAGTTGTTTGTTTCTTTTTGTGACTCGAGTGTTCAATCCTAAACCTACTGTGGATGGACAACATCCCGCAGTCGGGATGAACGGAACCCTGTAGTCGGATAAATCACCTATCAACTGGTGCAGGATTTCGTCCGCCCACAGTAGGATTCAAACCTTCCCCGCGATCATGGCGGGCAAACTTATAAGATAGTACCAAATTTTGACCCAACGCTCAAAGGGAAGCCAAACAAACAACCGTTTCGAGGGGGCCAATGGCGCATGCGTCGAAAGGCAGCGCCCAGAAATACTTGCCCCTTTTCGGCTGACAAAAGCTCAACTGCCTCAAGCAGAATTGAAAAAGCCAACAATCGGGGGACACCCAAGGGGTGGGTTTCCTGTCAGTTTTCTTGAAAACCAAGACAAGTGGTCCCCGGGCTTACTCGCTCCGAAGGGAAACCAAGGAACAAACATGACAGGGGTCCCCTTGCGTAGGCTGATGCCGAGATCGTTTTTGGCCATAGTGCTCCTGTTCCCTGCCCGGGCGGAATAGGTTTCCATACGGCGCAAAACAAACACCCCACAAGAACGACTGATACGAACACCTACAACACCCTCGAGAAAAACCGTCCTATTTATAGGGGGGTTGTTCCCTCCAGTGAATACTCCTCACTAAGCCACCCCCTATCAATGCATTGGGGTTGGGTTTTTTTAGCCGGGGTTCCCGTTAGAAGGGCGTCAATGGGGGTTTCCTGCAAACCATCATGGGGGCTGGGGGGGAGGGATGGGAGGGGGATTGAGGCCTTCTTTAGGGCTTATTTGGGCTCCCTCCCCCTCCCCCCCCATAAAACCACAAGAAACTAAAGCCCTTTGCCACAGCCGGGCCGCTTGAAGGTGCAGGTGCAGCTGGGCCCTGCACCGACCGAAAGCGAACGGCTTGCACGCTTGGCTGGGTTTTCTTGCGCATCTTGGTGCAAGGAATGCCTGCGAAACTGTGACCCTTGTAAGCATTCCCTAGGTCCTCCAGTAGAGGGGTTAGAATAAGGGTACCCTTTTTTCTATAGTCTATTTCAGTAAGGGAACCCTCCCCCAAAACAGGGTAAAAGGGCACTACTGCGGGACCTACTTCCAGACATTCAGCAAACCCTTGCAACAAAGTTCTCTTTGGAGAACCTTTGACATTGTCCAAAAGGTGAAATGCTTAATGCCCTCCAGTCATTGAAAAGGTGGCTTCTTCGGAAATTATTAGCGACCATATTCGCATAATTTACCATACATTCATGCAGCGGACAGGCACACAGTTGCAACCGCTTTTTGCTAGAGAACAAGACGTTAACGCATCCCAAGGCAGGCAAAGCAAGGCCAAAAGGCAGGTGGGTGGATGGTTAAGAGGTGTGATCCCTTGCAATCTGCCTTTCACTGTTGCAAGCGCCCTTTCAATTGAAGACTGTCGGGGAACCGCAATCAATCAGATATGCCGCCCAGTGAATATACAAGTGGTAATTGGAGTGTCGTGGGTGTAACGTCACTCCCTTGACCATGGGCACGGGACAGTGAGTAACATGGCAGCTGGAAGGAACACGGAAAGGTCATCAAGTTACGGTGCTATCCCAGACGTAGGAAAGGGATGAGGGTGACCATCTCCAGCTCCACCGCCTAACCCTTTATCACCCTTCGTTCTGACCTAACTCTCCGGGTTCCAACCGCTCCTGCAGATAATTCCAAGGCAGGTAGCGTGTCAATTTGGAAAGGAGGACAGAGAGTGATGAGTTGACAGGTGGTTAACCCTTCCCTGCAGACAGGGTACGGCTCAAAAGGGAACCCTGATATGGCTGTGGGTCAAAAAATGGGTAGCCAAAATAGAATCCTGGTAATTGGAACCAAGGAATAGAATCATTTTTACCCACACTCATATAGGAAATTGTCTTCACGGTGCCTTCTCACAGGTGCCACGTGAGTGGAAGGGAAGGTGCTGCACCTGCTGCATGCGGCGGCGGTTTCCACCCGCCTGCCCGCTGCTTGGCACTGTAGATGTCCCGATGCTGAGCGTGAAAACTTTCTCCTAAGCAGCATCGATTCGCATGCCGCCAATGCGGTGGTCTTGGGTGCGGGGGTTGTACGCCAACAAAATCATAACAGTCTATTGTTTATAATGCAAAACAACAATGCATACATAATATATGTACACGTATATCTAAAAGTATATATACGTGTATATATATATATATAGATACGTAGCAGACATACATGCAAACTGCTGGACAGGATGCCCTTTGCAGCAATTATGCCAACTGAATACGGGGTACATCGTCTGGAGCCGACTGGGTACACCCTCCGGAAAGCATGGCAGCACTTCCTGACACACTGCTACTGCACCACGCCTGTGGCTGCTACTCCTGCGCCTGGTGGTGGTGGGAAGCAGCAGCTCTTGCTGAGCCATGGGCCGTTGGGGTGAAAGTTGATCTGGATGGCGGTCACCTCGCGGAAGGCGGCGGATCCTTCAAATATTTTTATCCGAACATGTCGCGTTCGAGGAACCCGGCAAGCTTGGCCGAAAGTGAGCGCGGCCAACACCAATATGTGGCTTCGTCTCTGAACAGGGGAACTCTCCAATTAGAGTCCGTGTCCATGGAAAATGGGTGGTGTCCCTTTGGAAAATGGGTGGTGTCCTTTTGGCTTCCCCTCAAAGACCAACACGACGAGGGCTACCCTCGATTCAAGAGACATCCTCTCAAAGCTTCTTGGGCAGCCGGCAAAGCCGCCGTACTCTGCTTCGCTATGCCTCAGGCCATGCGGCGAAGAGCCAGGTGGATTGATCTTTTTCCGCGGATTTTCTGGGCGCTAAATGATGCTAACCCTGACTGAATTGAACCGTCTCCCCTTTTAGCCGGAATCCGCATTGCTTTTGTGTGTGACACCCCCTGTTTGTAAGACGGGTTTAATAATCCTGGGTTCCCATTAGGACGTCTGGAGCATGGCAACACGTTGGATCCTGATCAAACCTGGCCTGGTTCCCAGGTGTTACATGGGCTTCTTGCCAAGCATTCAACACATGCAACTCTCCCCGCTTTCCACACTTGTTTTTCTCCGTCTTTTGGACCCTCGAACGGCGTCGGGAAACCACTGCGTTGCACAAATCAGGCTACACGCCCCAAAGCTGGGTGTGCCCCATGGTTTTTTTACAGGGGCGAAGTCCAGCACACGAAAAGGATGGATATGAACCTGACGCGCCGGGTAGGGGTGGGGGTGGGGGGGTGGGACCATTTTCCTCTTGAAGGGACCCCCAACGTCAGGCTCCATGTTGATTGGTGGGAGGGTATTTGAGGCCACAGGTGAACGGTCCGTCCGAAAGGGCGGGCAAGCAAACCCCACCGTCCATTCCGTTCAATTGGCGCTAGAGCCGAAGGCTGAACCAGCTAAAATCGGAATCCTCCTTTCAGCCTCGGTTTGGTAATGTTGACAAATATGCATCAACCAAACATGATTTATCTTGATTCTGGTCCGTGTTTGGCGAGACTGAATTTGCAGCAGAATCTCAAAAGAGATTATGCAGGGACTCGTTCTGTTCTGAGACCTCTGGTTGCCCTGGCAAAGAAATGGGCATCTCTCGGGGGGCATTTCCGAGGGTTCATCACTGTCAGTGTTTTGAAGATTCCGACCTCCGTTCTTGGAACACCCTCCTGCAGAAAAACACGGAACCCAAACAAACCCCATTTGGCTGTGGGTCAAAACCAATGGTACCTTTTTGGGGTAGGTGAATTCACCACTCATTTTAGAACCTATTTTGGTGGTTGGATTGAATCGGATGTTCACTGGGGGCTAACCGATTAGGATTCTGACCAATGGCCATTTGTAGAGGAGTCTCCTCTTGGGAGACTGACAGAGTATATGCCAAAAAAGAGAGAGCTGCTGTGGACTGGAAAGCTCTGGGGCCGTTGCTTCACCATTTGCAGCAACATCTTCACGCACCGGGCCCTGAGATGGCAGACATGGCTCCCCCTGCATCTTGGTCGCAGGTGGAGTCCAAACAGAACATACCTGCAAAAAATGGCTTCCCTTCAAAAATGGCTTTTTGATGGACTTTCCCTCTAAAAATCAGCCCATCGAAAGCAAGCTCATCTAAACTTGGTCCCAGGGATGTTGAACAACGCGCTGAAGGAGCCGAAAGAGGAGGTCCTCCAGAAGATCCAGGATCGGAGTCTCCTTTTGGGATAAAAAAAGGGGCCCCCCAGAAGAAGATTCCTCTACAAATGGTGGCTTTTCTGGTTTCCAGGTTTATCTGGGGCGAAACGCCCATGCACATTGCCGATTGCAATGAAGCCTGTCAGAAAAGCATGGCGAAACAGAACATCTGGAGTCAGCAAACCGAATCAACCATAAAACCGCATTTGCGATGTGCCTTGAAAAGCCGGGGACCTCCCCAGAGTGCCTGGGTCTTGCTTGCTTGGCTTCCCTGTGGAACCATCCCAGGCACCCTCAGACAGGGACACACCCAACCTTACCGAGTGGGTGCCGCCCCGCGCCCGCGCTCCTCCCAACGTTGTTCAGCATTCGCGTCAAGGCCTGCACCGACCTGGCCATGGGACAACACCATGGAAGCCGGCTTGACTTCCAGCGGTAGCGGGTGTGTGGACAGGCGTTTGTTTTGTGCAAAACAAAACGAATACATCCCAAAACCTGAAATGAGGGATGGGTTGGGGAGAATCAGGGATGGATTGGTTGACAATAAACGTCTCGTTCCAACCGCAAGATGCGAATCGAGGGTGTGGAAACCTACAAAGCCACGCCCTTCCGCTGGCGGGGTCCTTTGGGGCAGTCAAAGCCAAAAGGCAAAAGGGTCACAGTGGGTGAACCTCCTCTCTTGCATTCATTCATCAAATCACTACCCCCAGGCGTCAACGGGGATATGTTTCTGGTGGTATGTCCCAGTCACTCCCTGCAATTAGTGCTGGGGACAGTGCACACCATCTTAGATTGACAGGTTTCCCGGAGATGTCAGCGTCCTCACTAAGGACGTGGGCAACTGACCACAAAGGTCCGTTGCTCAGCGAGCCACTTTGGTTCAGGTGCCTAAAGCCTGAGCCAGACCTACACCCGAAGTGATCCCTTTGATCGTTGACAAGGTAAAGCAACAAGGGAAAACCACAAAGGAACAAAAACACCAGGGAATGAAAGGACACAAAGGAAACAAGTTGACAAGGTACTGCAAGTAAGTCTGGGCAATTTACTCGCCTCAACTCGAATCAACCCATCGGCGCTGCTTCGATGCGCACTGATTCCGATCGAAGGCGGAGAAGATCAGCTTGCCGCCGGCTTTCCACACCGAACCTCCGCGGTTGAAAGCGGAGACGCATCCCCCGGATTTTCCAAAAAAAGAAACACGTAGACGAGGTCCTCCAGTAGAGAAGCTTGGAATAAGGGCGCCCTTCTTCTCTGTAGCCTATTTTAGTGGGGGAACCCTTCCCCAAAAAAGGGGTAAAAGGGCACCACAGGGGGACCTAGTAGAATGCTGAGAGTAATTTCCTGGTTGGCTTCCATCTTAATTTGCAGGGGAGTAAGTTTCAAGGGATGCCGCAGAAGCCCCAGCAGCGAAAGAGTCTGACGTATTCTTCCCACAAAGGCACGCTAGTAAGGCTCTTGAAGGCTGTTGAGAGGAGGTACCTGATTCGGGTGGGGGTATCTTCCTTTGAAACATCTCTTGGCTCAGCATCTTCAGCTCGAAGCAGCTGACAGTATTGCTTTTCCCCACTGGGGTGAACAAATGCAAGTTGCTATCGAGACTAAACTCCCAAATAGAGGAATGTCTTCATTTTGGGCCCCTCTTCTGAATGAACCTAGGGATTGCCTGAAATCTAGGCAACATCTATGTGAATGGAGCCTTAACTTTTCCCCCTACATACCCCTTACAAAGGCAATACTGTGAGTCTCAGCTTTGCCTATCGTGCGTACCCAGGCTTTATATTGCCTAGAAAAGGGACCTGGAAGGGGTATGCAAGTGGGACAAACTAAGGGTCCATTCACAAGGGCCCATTAGATTTTGCCTAGATGAAAGGACGTCATAGGGGATGGTTTTCTCGGGCTCACTTCAATTCTCATTCCCTGCTTATCGCACAGGCATGTTTTTCAGCAACAGTACAGTCCTTCTCTCTATTACTATTATTGCTATTATGTTATATATATATATATATGTATATAAATAGCTATGTACACTTTTGATTGATTTTCCACTTTTTATACTTCAAACAACAAAATCCAAAAACACACACACGCACACAAACACAACCGCCGCCGTGGTTGCTTTTCCCCATCGCTATGGCCTTCCTCCACCGCCAGCGCGGAGGCCGAGAGCTCATCGAAGAGCTCCTTGTCACCCTGGATCGATCCATCCGAGCCACGTTTATTTTTAGGCGCGGCGCGTTGGGTCATGCCATGATGAACGCGTGGCCACATGAACCTCTGTGATTCCATGCCATGTTGGGTCATTCTCCACGGGCGCAATCCCAGAAAGCAGCATGCCAACGGACAATCTGATTCATGGATGTTCCTCTCCCTCCCTGCCATGGAATCGGCCCAGATGGTGCCCTTCAGAAGAACATGGTGCCCCAACTGCTGGCGACCTCCACTCAGGTGGGTGGAAGGGTAATTCATTCCTGGCAGCGTCTCCCAAGCTCATTCTCCAATTTGCAACACAACGACAACGCTCCCCCGCAGCTTGCCCAGATGCCCCCAAAAGCTGTCTCTGTTGGAAAACCAGGAAACGCAAAACACCCGAAAATCCTCCAAAAGCCCAGGCCCAAAACATCTCCAGGAAACGCACTGGGCCTTTCTCCCTGGAGGATTTTAAACTGCTCCCGAGCCGATGGGGGACCCCCTCGCAAGCAAATTGCCAAACACAAAACACTCCCAAGCCAGGCACAAAGCGGGAGTGACTCTTCGCGTGACGCTCGGTACCCCTGCAGAACAGTAATGGAGCCCCTGTTCGGGGGTTGATTGCAGGAAACTTACTAAACATGCTCCCTTACGAGCAAAGATCAGAAGCTGAAGTGCGATTTTTGAGGGATGCAGCTTTCCAATCCTCATGTGAGCAAAACGCTTTGTTTTCAGCTACCCACGGAACATGAGCCAGAACTAATTAACGAAACACTCATGCCAAGAAGAGTGCAGGTTGGCGGAATCCTCTGGTGCCCTGCTCTGCGAAAATCGCAGGCAGAAGAAGTCAGAATGTACGAAGATTTCCGGGGCAAAACACCGACTGCCCTCTGAGGTCAGACCAAGATGAACACCGAAACAAAGTCGTCATGCGGAGTAACCCGCCAAGAAAAAGAGCCACAACTTTTCTTTATTGGCAAAACATGAGCAGAACCAATCAACTAAAACAACAAAACTATGCCAAGAACAATGACGCATTTGTGGATTTTCAACAAGTAAGAAACCAAGGGGAACATTCAAAGGAAACATTCAAATAACCAGGTAAAGACTGCTTTACCTTTCAGAGAAACCATCAAATACCACCGCGGTTCCTGGCGAACCGATCGGTTCCAAGAAAGGCATCCATTGGAAGCGGGAAGCGCGTTGCATCATTCACGGGATCGGTCGAAGTGAGCAAGCCATTTGGAACCCAATTCTGTTGTTTGGTAGAGGCGGCTCAAACAATAGCGGTGTCTTTCTTAGGGACCCCTCCAAAATGGCCTCCTTTTGGTTTACCCTCTCCAAAAATGCATACTAATGAAAACGCGCACACACACACAAACAGATGCTTCCCCCCCCCTTTTTGTACCAAAAAAACAAAAAACACTACGACAGACCCTTTGGAACCTTCTCTGAAAGGGACACAACAAGCATTTGTGGGGCCACTTTGGGGGCACGCCAAGTGCCCTCAGTTGGTCAACCGCCCCGCTTCCGCGTCATGTTTTTTCTAAACGCCTGCTTTCCAAAGCGCCGTTTGCCGGGAGCTTTGGCTCAGACTCCAGCACTTTGGCCGGTGTGGCCTTGACATCCTAGCTGGCAGCTTTGAGTCTTACGTCTTACTTCAGCCCCATGGATTCCAAAGTAGGAACCTCACGGATGCTTGTGAAGCTTCCTAGGGGATGATGACTAGCCCCACCAAAAGGGGTGTTTTGAAGAGGGCGCGCATGCGCCACAAATTTTCGAGTTCTCTACCATTGAGGCGGGACATCTAGTTTTTGCCATGCAGGAGAGGGCACCAGATCTGTGCAAGTCTCCCCTGCCCCACACGCAAACACACAAGTATCAGTATACCTTACTACGATCTCACTAAGCTTTCCAGCTGGACACTCACTTTACACTGCCCCAAAAGGTGACACTTCGGATACATTTAGGAGATGAACACCACCCAAACTAGACAGTTGGGGAACTCTGCTGTTCCCAAAACCCCACATGCGAATCGAGCGCCAAACTTCACCTCACTCGTCCCTGAGCTCCATGAGGTCTGCGTCATTCACCCGGTTGTCCTCGCCGTGTGGGGCAAAGACTCGCTGGATCCTGGCATGCCCGAAAAAGGGTCCGAACTTTTGGCCCACAACACTGGGTCAATCCCCCAATGACTTAAAGTCCAGGATTTCTGTCGGACACCCACAAGGGAATGAACCGAAAGGGGGTCTCCGCAAAGGAAAGCTACAAGTGGATGGTTCTTCTGCAAACGCCCCAGGAAACTGTACAGGAAATCATCTCAACCCCCCTGTCTTGATGGTTGCTTGGCCAGCTGTAGAATTTTCCAGTGGCTGGTTTCTACGATGCCCCGTTTCCAAAAAAACAACTGAGGCATCGCAAAAACCAACCGTCCCCCTTGGACGCGGAGCTCAAAGTTGCGAAACGCAAGCTCCCAAGTCGCAAGGTCGCACAAAATTTGTCTCACTCCCCCCCCCCCCAAAAAAAAAAAAGAAGAGAAGAAGCCATGGTTGCCCCCAAAAAAAACATGGCCCCAAAGAAGTCCCAGGCAAAACACATGGCCCCCCCAAAAAAAGTCTGAACTTTGTTATGGTCCAACCCCAAGTGACGAAAGTCCAACTCATGAAAACCAGGGCCACCACCATGGGGGGTCCAAAAAGCATAAAGCCCAACTGGAGAAGTGAGTCTTGCACCTAACGCGCGCTTCCTCATCCCAGCGCTCGTCCGCGTCAGACTCCAGCAGCAAATCCCCCATTGCCTCGAAGAGCTCGTTCAGCCCTGGGTGCCTCGAAACCGATCGACTCACTTGGGGAGCCGTGCTGTGGTCGAAAAGGCACTCCTCCGGCGCTCGAGGGGAAAGGAGAACACTCAGCCGAGGGAACACACACACGCTTCCTTAACAAAAGGCCAACCTCAATTCATATCTGAAAGCCACACGCACTATGGGGCTTATTTGTATATATATAAAAGAAAAAACAACAGAAAAACAAAAAGAAAAACACCAACCAACACCATCCTTCGAAGGCACCCTACAAGTGGCCAAGCGTGGCCTGAGTGGATAGGTGCCAAGTTTTCAGACTTGCCTTGCCAGAGCAGCATTTTGGGGATGACCTGTGAAGTCGCAAAGTCTGAGGACACATCGCCTGGAACGAAGCATCGGGCCTAAAATGAGTCCTCCCCTTCAAAAAACAAGATGTTGATGTGAACCACGCCATCTGTACAGACCTAACAATGTCCCTGGGGCACCACTATCGATGGCCCCCGCATGGTCCATTTGGGCGTGTTAGAGTGCCTCCCTTACAAAATGAATTAAACAAAGTAATAATATGCTTATATATATGTGCCACACACACACGCACATATGTACATACATGTATACGGTTTTCCGTTGGGTTTCCCTTCAAAACCCTAAACAACATACCCTCCCAACAAACAACAGGCACACATCTTGCACGGGTTAAGCGCCACATGCGCCATTCTGCCCGCTGAGTTCTTTGACCCAGGCCTGTAGGGCCCACATAGGGCTGTGGGGTAGAAGCCCAAAGCCAACTGAAGCCATGATGGGTGGAGCCATCATTTTTGCCCCCAAAAGAAAAGAAAAGAAAACGAACCAAACAAACACGCCCACGACAGAAAAAATAAAAATAATTAAAAAAACGCCAGACAAGATCCAACTCGGCCTGTTCAGACCGGGTCCTCTGGGGGCAAAAGGGGCTTTCATGGACAAAAACCTTGGGGACATACGACACCTCAAAGTTATCTGCTCATAGCTTCCTGAAGAAAACCTGGCAACAGATCAGACATGCTTCAAATATTTTGACATCTCAAACGGTGGAATTTGTTCGGCCCCCTCAAAATATGAATCCCATCCAGGACAGGGTTGGGCCCACCTTAGAAGATGCTGGAAGTAATGGCTCAAACACCTAAGTGGGCCCAACACTCTTTTAAGTGTAAGGTACCAAAGGGACAGGGGTGCTTCTCAAAGGGACCCTTCCAGCTTAGTTTGCTTTTGGCCTTCAAAATCAAAACCTAAAACTTAGCCCACAGAAGGGGTACACAGAACATGTGTTCTGCCTCTTCAATTTAGCCCACCCTAAAGTACAAATTTTTTGGAGGAGGCCTTAAAAAGTAAGCAACATATTATAACATGAACAACCTCCCTTTGGAGGATACCCTAAATATGTTTAGTGGAGTCGTTGCTAGGATTCTAAGATACTTAGCCCTTAAAGCACAACATTTGTTTAGAGGCGACCTGCAGCAAATATGTGCTCGACAATTGTGCAGATATTTGAATGGCTTTTGAAGGGACAGTAGAAACATACTTTGTTCACCCCTAACATGTTTTGGGAGGAGGCCCCAGTTTGAGTCAGTGACTAAGTGGGTTGGTCCAAGCTTTTTCTGCACCAACATTTTTCTTGGTTGCTGTTGACCCCCTGCGAAAAGTTAAACTATTTGGGGGTTTAGTCGAAAACCCCTTGATTTCCCAAACAGTTAAAGTCTACTCCGATTCGCGCTCCTTCCCGGCAGGGCATGGCTCACCCCGCAGAGACCACTTGCAGGCGGTTCCTCGCAAGCGGTCCCGGTGCCGCTCAAAGATGGCCGACTTCTCCTCGGGGGGAGTGGATGGCTCCAAAAAAGGAGTCAAACTTTTCTCGATTGCTTTCCGCTCCCCTGCTAAAAGTTGAACTTTTAGTGGTTTCATGGAAAATCCACTAGTTGGCAAAAAGTTAAGGTCCTAACATCCAAGCAAAATGCACCATTTTTTTGCTTGCCACCAAAATTGTCTTCACACCAGAGCAGGTAACCAGCCCCTGTTACCCTTTAAAGGGAAGCCAAAAGCTTGGGGTTTTGCCAACCTGTAACCTCCCAAATAAGTTTCACTTAGGAAGAAGTGGCTGTCCCGACAAAAAGCTACCAAATTGATTGTCACCGACATGGCCTTCCCAAGTGTGAAGAGGCTACAA